AAAACAAAATAAAAGAGAAAGATAGAAAAAGTACACAAAACTATCATTATACAACATAAGAGTCTACTATTTTATTTTGTGACATTTTGGTTTATGGCAAATGCATCGTCCATAATGGCATCATCTGCGAAAAAGTCGGACACGTAAAATTTTGGCAGAGGTGGAATCGTGTCGTTGACATAATTAGCTTCCATATTTTTGTCATTGTTCAAATTCATGGAAGCTTGAAATAATTCCACCAGATGCTTTGCAGTACGGCATTTGTTAGCCCAGTGCCCCGTCATGCCACATTTATAACAAGTCGACTTTCCCGAGGACTTTGGAGGACGATTTATTTGATGGGCCTTTTGTTTGCCCTTGCTCTTGTAATTTGGTCTTTCGACTTGTTTGTATTCTCGGTGTGACTTGTTTTTATGACCATTAAAATGCCCATGTTTAAAATGCCTTCTACTGCCTTCTATTGCCCTTCTGTTGCATTTTGACCGGACATATCAAGAACGTCGAATTCTCTTTTGCTTATGTTGGCCATGTATACTACAAAAATTTATTGGTTTAACATTTAATTAGTAAATTATACTTTGATAACTTCGTACTACATACAAGTATTAATGATTGTGTACCGAAATAGTACAAAGTATTCAAACTTTATGCCTTAAGAAATCTAAGCAAAGAAAATAATTAATAAATAAGATGTAAACTACAGATCGCAAACTAATAATTTATTTTGATATTTAGATATGTCCTTAGAGAGTTACTCTGCAGATGCAACCCGTGATTATATTTATTTATAAGAAGACAAATGGCCATGCAAACTAATAATCATCTTATGTCAGTACTCAGCTTCACATATCGACATATGTAATACGTGAATACATTCCGCAGACCCGTGACACTACTTGTATATATCCTACGAAGTAATATTTTATATACGACTGAGAAAATAAGTTGGAAAATGTTTCTTCACTCGTTTCCACCGTTTGCTTGTTTACTTTCTAAGCTTTATTTTCTGTATCACTTATCTTTCTTTTACTTACTCTTTAATATAGAGTATTATTATTATGAAGTATCATGATTTAAGCCAATTCTTAGAGCATGTATTACAACTCTAGAAGTGCAGAGATGTTTTCACCCATTCTTAACTCATTCGTTCTTTATTATGGTGTATATCACTCTCATTTCTTTTTTACTATTATGCTGCCCCTTTTCTTTTCAAGTATTATCATGTTGCTCATTTCCTATGCTGAAGGAGATGATGGTTGGTGAAGAATTTGAGCTGATTTCTTGAAGAGTTTTTGAGCAGATTCATACTGATAACGTGTTGTGAAATGAAGAGGATGAAGACTAAACTTAAGAGATAGATATATTAATAAAAGCTCTGAATATCTTCTTCTTAATCTCTGAATATTTTCTGAATGAGTTTACAAAGAATTGAACTAACTCTATTTATATTAGTCAAGCTTAAGGATGAATCATCTAGGAATGATTCTACACAATTTGCTGGCAGTATTAGATCTACCCACCTGTCTAACTATGATTACAATGATATGAATTAGATGAGTAAGCTTATTACAAGGACCATGAGTAGTTTGGTGTCCTGATGAACAATTCACACTTGTCTTTCTCGGAAATTTATTCAAAATCTCAAAATCATTTGTGTGTACTTTTTTATAGACAAAAAATGTCCATTTGATGGATTCACTTTTATAGATAATAAATGGATGGCATAAACAAAAAAGGATTCTGACAAGGCAAAATCATGTACACTTTTCGGGCTACACATTTATTGTTTGTTAAATGATTTTTCCAACCGGTATTTTTTGGGGAGAAAAGATTTTGAAAAATGTGTACAAAAATACGAAGTACAATTTTAAACCCCGTTGGAAACATTTTGTTCGTATCAGACATTTGTTGTTTATAAAAGTTTGTTTTTCCACAAACAATTTTTTGTAGAAAAGATTCGGATAATATTACTTCTAAAAAAAATAAAAATGGGAAAAAATAACCATATATAACTACAACATGCCCAGTTTCCCATAATATGTCTTATAAAGTATATTTACGGTTATATGACTAACTAAGAGCATCACCAATGGACCACTGTTAACACATGACACATGGCAATCAATTAATGAAATAGTCATCCACATCATTTAAGAGAAGTATGGCGTGACGGTGAAACTCAAAAAAGGTGTCCAACGCTACATGTTAACAGCCTATTAGAAGTTCATGCGTGAATCACCTACATATTTTCAAGATAAAAGAAAAGAGGAGTGTGCCTGTATTCAAATCTAGCTCTTTCTGGAGGGTCAACTTTATATGACAAAGGAAATACGGAGTAATGTTTTTAGAATAGTCGAGGGTTTATTTTTACCACTAGGCGGCTGCCTGAGAGAAGAAGATGTTATTTTTATTAAGGAAATATAACCTGCCAGAATTTGAATGTAGTGAATTGAAGCAGAGAAAGCTTCTAGTGACTAGGCCTTTACCTCGAAAATATATGCGTAGCTCTTTACTCAAGAGGGGAAAAAAGGTGAGTGGGTGGGAGATATCATTTCCCCACTACTTGAACATACGGAGTACATGTCATGATGGAGTTGTTTCCGCGGCAAATATTTTCGTGGGTGGGAGATTTTTAGAATTTCAGCAGTATTTCCCTCACATTTGCCGACTCAGCATGTCGAAGGCGCTGTTAATAAGACATTCATGTTCACGCTGTTTTGAACATGTCAGCATTACATTAACGATGACATACTGCGTTGGAGATGAATATTTATACGAAGTGTACGATTGTGATGACGGGGCAAATTTTTTTAATGTCAACGGCAGCCCATTGGTGATGCTCTAAGGATGCACACACTCACACATTCACCATATGTTTTAATGCAGCGGTTACATTTACAAGATGACATGTCATTTATGCACCATTCTAGGAAAAAATTAACCAGGTCATACATTGGGAAACTGTATCTCTTCCGGTCATACGTACGTTAATTTTCTCATTTAATGTTATGTTCTAACAGTAACAAGAGAATTTCTTGTCCTAAAACACAGAATGTAAGAATAACAGCAACATGATGCTAGATAGAGAGCAGGAAGAGCATGGGACGGAAACGGGCTTGGGCCCACTTTCGTGGGCCATTTATGGGCTGTTATACTTTTATTTATTATTCTTAAATGAATGTTATGTTTTAGTTTGGTCCTATTATTAGTAGAGTACTTAGTAGATTTAGTTACCCCTTGCCTTAATTAGGATTTAATTAATTTGGGCTTGTTTAGGGTTTCTCTTAGAAGGCTATTTATACCCCCTTGTCAGGGTTCATTCTAGCTTATCTTGGAATAAAATTGGTTTTAGCCTTTTGGCTCTGGGCAACAGTATTTTTATCGTTGATTACCTGGGCAACGGTTTACCCCGTTAATTTTATTTTTCTGTTACACAACAATTGGTCTGACATGCCGGATCCCGTCCCGTCGGAATGACGAGATCAACCAACGAACGATTATCAGAATTGGAGGCCGAACATGCCCCGATCAATCAAAAACTTGACACGCAAGGACAAAAATTTGATGCACAAGGTCAGAAATTGGAAGAACAGGGCGCCCAGCTTGTGGAAATCGCGGCTTCCCTGACAGCGATCGTGAAGGCCATGATGCCGCCGGAGAAGACTCCAACCGCGACCGTCGAAAGTGACTCCTCCGCACACGTCGCGACTACATCCTCTGTTGATGGCGCACTGCGCAGCGCAGCAACCGCCCTGCTCCCCTCTTTCGACGACGAAGACCCAATTGGGTGGTTGGCAAGAGTTGAGCAACAGTTCGAACTCAGCAGAATCCCACCAGACAGAAAAGTGGCAGCGGCTAGGGTTTCTATGGAAGGAGCTGCCCTCTATTGGGTGACTTGGTTGAAGGCGCGCAAATCCGGCATGTCCTGAGAGGAATTTAAGCAAGCCCTGGTGGCCAGATTTGATTCCCGATATAAGGGAAACATGTTTGAACGGTTGTCAGGCGTCAAACAAATTGGGTCGGTGGAGGAATACAATACCTTGTTTGTTCAATTGGCTAGCCAAGTTTCGGGATTGACCGACGATCATTATTTGGGCTATTACATGAGTGGACTTAAGGAAGAAATATGAAGTTCGTTGCGCTTATTACGGCCGAATAACCTGGACACGGCCATGGAATTAGCTCGCGGTGTGGAGCATAATTTGTCCGTCAAAAGTGGATGAAGTGGCAGCCCGAATTACAATTCTTCAGGGGTACGTTCCAGCAGTGTTTTAATGGCAAACACGGCTCCTCCGTTGACTGCCAGTGGTGGCAGCTTACAGGGATCAAGGGGCAGCTTTGCGAAGGATAGTGGACAACCTTCGGAGACAAAGACAGGGTTGCCCGGGCAGCCTACGACACGCTCTCAGTTCACTCGTCTTCCGCCAAAGGAGTTCGCAGAATTGAGAGCGAAAGGATTATGCTTTAGGTGTAAGAAGCCATTTACACCAGGTCATGACTGCCCTTTCAAGCAGTTGCGAGTAATGATAGCTGAGGAGGAGGATGAGTTGGACCTCCAACAGCATGAGTACTGTGAAATAACCGGCCAGAAAAGCGTTCAGGAAGGAGATGAAGGATATTTTCCAGTCTATTCTATGGCTAGAAATTTCAGTCCTCGATCTGCGAGATTTCAACCTTGAGGACAAGGTTATTTTGAAGGAGGATGGATTGATAGAGAGCAGGAAGAGCATGAGGCGGGAACAGGCCAGTTATGGGTTGTTATAATTTTGTTTAATATTCTTAATTTAATGTTATGTTTTATTTTGGGCCTATTATTAGTAGAGTACTTAGTAGAGTTAGTATGGATTTAATTAATTTGGGCTTGATTAGTGTTTCTCTTAGAAGGCTATTTATACGCCTTGCCAGGGTTCATTCTAGCTTGGAATAAAATTAGTTTTAGCCTTTTGGCTCTAGGCAATGGTTTACCCCGTTGATTTTATTTTTCTGTTACACAACAAATATAGTATCTCTAAAAACCCGCTTCAAGTTATAACGCAACTCCACGATCTATTCTCCAAAAGTAGTTGATAGACAACAAATCAATTTATCAAAAAATCAGACTACCTGAAGTTAATTAGAACTGATATGATCAGAAGTCTATAACATTACAAGCTAAGCCGAATTAGAAGATGCTGCAAACTTCCCACTCAGCCACATCAATCGCCTCTCATTCTTCAAAGACACAAATATTTCTCTTGCGTCTGGATTCTCGAATAAATCCAACGCGTAGAAGTAGATTTGATCAACACCTTGCATCTCATCGAGTAGTTTTATGCATTTGCTTATGGAGAAACGCTCCTCGTTTCTCATAGTTGCAGCTGCCCTCGCCTTGGAAGCAGCTGCAATCTCCAGCATGGCATCCACTATAGCATCACCCGTTGCCTTGCGGCTCCTCTTGCGACGGCCCGAGTTTGACGCTCCAGATCGGTGCTTACCTTGTCCATCTAACACTGTCATATCATCAGCAGAACCAGAAGAGCCATCTTCATCTACATAAGTAGCCTGAGGATCTGCCGACATGTTGAGTTACCCTTCTGCTTTGAGTTAATTACGATTTAAGTAGTAGCGAACGCCTGAACTGAATTAAAAAATCCAGTAACACAGTTCAATGGAAAACTACTATTCGGCCAGAAAATATGCACTCAAACCTGAAATAGGAAAGACAGAAATTTATTACGGAGTAGTTTTTTGTATTACTAGGAAAGGGTAATGCTGATTTTCAAAAGAATATGAAGAGCATGTAATCCAAAAGGCTAATGCTGATTTTCATGTAATGAAATAACTAATTGTGAAGTAATAAAAATTAGTACCTCTGGCCCCTAACTTTTGGTACATGAGGAGGTGGTGGGGTTATTAACAAAAGTGAGTTCATGTGATTGATATTGGATTGATAAATAAGAATAAAGTGAGAACGATTTAGAACCACACAAACATGTCAAATTTGGTACGAGTCAGTCTTAGTGGGATGGACTGAAAGAAAAGATCGGACAATCTTTAGCGGGACAGGGGGAGTAGTATTTAACACATTTCAGTGTTCCTCGAGGGGAGAAATGCACACACCTTGAAACTTGATGAATAATGCTTTACTTGGATTAAAATAGATGAATTTCTCATAAAGGCATATTTGACCTTGCTTTATGCAGGAAGGGAAAGAATATTACGGTGAAAACTGTAATTCATGGTACCACCATACTTCGTGGGGAGAGATTCTGTGTGTGGATCCCACCTCAACTTTTATATCTTGATTCTCTTCTCCAATTTCTTGCTCCAAGAAGTGGAATCTCTCACCCCCAGAACTCTCAATCCCACAAAGTTAGTGGAAGAATTCAATCACTTATAAACATAGTTGATCCACAATGGCTAGAGTCTAGACATGCCACACATCACGCACAAGGAACCAGTCATTTTTTAGGGGAACCAAGGACTCTATTCCTGATCACTTGCTCCAAATTCCATCTTTGGAAAATCGAACCCACTTAGCTACCTTATGAGCTCTTCTTGAAATTCTCTTACTACACAAACAACAAAAAACTTCATTTCCTCTCTAACTTCTGTCTCCGGCCTAGCTTATTTCGTTCCCAAATCATCCCAATCAAAGAGTAAGGGAAGTAGCTAGTAAAAAGGATGATTTGGCGTGGATTTCATTGGAGTATCAGACTTGGTAGATATCCACATCTAGTACACTTAACACAAGTTTGAATTTCGGCATCCACATCTGACCCATTAAAGACAGCAGATTGTCAAAGCAGTTTTAATGCATGAGATGACAGATCCTAACTATGAAAATATAACCATCCAACCTTAAGGAGTGTTGGTGTCAAGTGTTAACATTTGTTTGGGAGAAGCTAAAAAAGAATTAAGAGTGTTAGTAAATGCTAAGAGGTATTAACCCTCCCAACACCTCAACTCTTTAAATTTAAGGCTCCAATTTGGGGTGTTTTGGGGAGTTGGACAACTCTTTCTGCCTTTCTTTATCTTCTTCTATAAATTATTCTTCAATAAATTCCAGGTTATTTTGCGATGTTTTGTTGTATGCATATTCTAATACACATATATCTTGAGAGTGTTGTTATATTTCTTCTCAAAGATTATATATAAATATCCAAAAAATGTTTCTAGTGTATCAGATGTGATACATAATGTGTGTCAAGAATTGAAACCGATCAACACTCATTGAAATTTTGCCCATTACTATCATTCCTTCTTTTACTATATAAAGTTTATGTTCTAGCCATACACTTGTCTTGTCTACCTTAAGCATGCCTATACTTCCTAGCACTGCTGCTTCTAACACCTCCAAACACCCCATCCAAATAAACCTTAAATGTATTAGTAAATTTTGGAAGAGAAACTTACTAGACTTCATGTCTCCTCACCCTTCTGATGAATAAAGTTCATAAGAGTGAAAATAATATGTTAGCATACAATTAATCAAGTTTATTATTGTTCCAAGAATTCGAGAGGTCATTTTGAGAATACCATTCTCGTATTCTACTAATTAGTAATTTCCCTGGAAAGTGAAAGCCACACAAAATCAACATATCATTATGAAGCTGATTTATTGTTCTTATCCTTTATCTGTTCTGAATTATATGCTTGTTTCTCTGTCTTCTTTTAGAAAAATAAAGAAATAAATAAAACTAACAATGAAGAAAGGAGACACCAAACTTACAGAGAGAAATCACATGTGGGGAGACACGGACATGAGTAGGGTGTAGTTCGGTGAAGTGCAACACAAACGAAGTAAGAGTGTCAGAGTTGTGATTAGGGGGAAGAAACCGGCAGATGAAAAGTGCCTCTAAATGGCCTTTAAAGCTGCAGAGGATTGGTGGAGTCGGTCGGCGAGATGGAAGTTCCATGCTCACCTTGACAGATGCATCATGTCCGTGAGCTGCATTTGTTTCCAATTCTTTTTTTACGATTTAGGGTTATGGGGTGGGCACGGATGATGGGTCAGGTCGAGGCGGGTAATGCAAAATAAAATGAAACTGCCGGTTCCATTATACAGATCGGTCCGCTCCGGGTATTGCAATATTCAAATTAGGAACCGGACCTTACCCGGCCCGTTTGAAACGAGTCAGTCTGGTTCGGGTTTTTCAGTTCCTGTTTCCATGTCTTAAAAGTAGTAAAAACTTATGGAGTTCCAAAAATCTGTAATTCTCAGCATCTATATTCTTAGGTATTTAAAACTGGGCAAATGGTTGTGTACTTGTGTTGATTCACTCTCACCTAATTAATACATTTCCTTACCAATGAGCAAGTCATATTTTACGGTAATAGAATATAACCTACTTATAACAATATAAGCAGTAAGTTGATGTTACTTTGTGATTATGTATAGCATAGAATTAGAGTTGGGAAGAAAATAACAAGCTGATAAGTGATAACAGTGCAATAAAATAAAAAAATGAAACACAGATGATACATTCCATGGAAAACCCAGAAATCCGAAACATACTAAAACAAGAATAAACTGCAAAATCGAAGTTGGAATGAGTATCAAACTAACAATGTTATAAACCCTAGTTTCATATCTTATAGAGCTATATAGAGCCAGAGATCCAAGAGGGTTACCGTCGCTCTATAAAGTGAGCACTGGCCGAGAAAGAAACGAGATCCCGGCGATGAAGGACGGAGGAGGTGAAAGAAAAAGTTATTCCCCTTACCTTCGCTCTCGATCGCTATAAAAATCGCTGCAGGAGTTGCTGGAGTTGCTGTACACAGATGGGCCAGCCGGTCGAGAACTACGTACTCACTCTAATCCTCCATTGTCCATGCCTCCCGCTCCATGTGTGATAGTCGTCTGTCGTCCACAGAGAGACTGGTAAAAGCTGAAGCCTACACTCAGTAAGGGCTGACCCGCTAATGGGCTAAGGCCCTGTTTACCAACGACTAAATGGACTTCATTGAACAGAGGACTTAATCGTTCGTTCAACTATATAATCTTGTTTACTTGTAACTTAATAATAAAATTGACTTATTCGATTAGATCATTTGTGACTTATTAGCTCAGCTAGAATTTATCGGTCCTTCCGCTTCAGACGTATCATCAGGGCCGACCCTGGCCATGTGCTCCAAGTGCAATGGCACATGGCCCAATAAAAATAACGGCCCAAAAATAATTAGTAATATGGAGTATTATGTAGTATACATAGCTCAAGGTAATTCTGCCAACAAAAAGAGCATCGAATGACACACTTAAGTGGTTAGATGTTCTTTCTGTAATTGATTTAACAAATTTATATTATTGGACTATTAGGTTGTTATATTTATAATTGTTTCACTATTCTGCTTTTATAAGTAAATAATTTTGTTTTTTGAGTTTGTAATTAATAGTTACTACGTAGTAACTTGTTTTTTACATATTTTTTTAATAGTTATTTACTATTTTCATTTGATCATCTTGATAGATAGTGATTCTAATTTATTAGAAGAAAAAAAGGCCTAATATTTTCTCTTGCACATGGCCTGTGTTTTTCTAGGACCAGCCCTGCGTATCATCGTGGGAGGAGTTTCATTTTTAACCCTGACTTCTCCCTCTCGATACTTCATTGCTTCTCCAAGCCATATCACGCCAACATCACAAAGCTCTGAACAAACTTGCGAGCTTCGACTATCGGAGCTAGGCAGCAAATGCTATCATCCCCTACTCATTCCCTTCGGTATTTCCTCTCAACTAGGTTTATGTTTTTTTGTTCTTATATTGCAGAGTTTCTCCTTAAGCTATAAAATAGCCTCTAAACTTCTTCTTAGACAAAAGAAGGCTTCGACTAGCTCTTGAAGTTTCCTATATTGAGTTGAGTAACTGAGTTTTTTGTTATGTTTTTTTTAGTTTGTTATGTTGTTCCGCAAGAATTAGGCTTTTTTTCATTTTAATTTTTGAAATTATTCAAATTGAGGGAGAAGAGTTCAGAAATTATTCAAATTGAGGGAGAAGAATTCAGAAATTATTCAAATTGAGGGAGAAGAATTCAGAATTCTCAATTCAAGGAGTCATTTTTTTCAAGGATCTGTCTATTAATTTTGTCAAGGCACAACCTCATAAATTGAAGCTTATATCTTGAAAATATATTTATTTCCTTAAACTACATTATTGTGTTAAACTTTGTTTGATGAAATTTGATTCTTCTATGTGACAATAAAGGGAAAATCGCACTTTTAGTCCCTCAAATAGTCACCATATTGAAATGTCAGACCCGTGTTCCCCAGTTTGTAATTATCACCCCTCAATTGTCCGAGTTGTTGTAAATGTGGTCCTTTGAGAGGTGAAATGTATAATGTGGACATGGAGTACATTTCACCTCTCAAAGGACCACATTTACATCAATTTGGACAATTGAGGGGTGACATTTACAATCTTAGAAATGCGGGTCTGACATTTCAATATGGTGACTAATTCAGGGACTAAAAGTGTGATTTTCCCGAAAATAAATGTTTGATATATGACTCTTTTTTGGGACAAGAAAACTTTTAAACACGACTATTCATTTGAGGTGGATGGAGTAGTACTTTCCCTTCTAGTACATCTTATCCCAGAGATAATCATGGCTAATATTTTGGAATAGCTAAGAACCGATCATTTTGTAGCAAATGAGCAATATGCCTTGCAAGATACATTAAATAAGAAGCTAATCACTTGGACCTCTAACTTGCTTGTCTATATAAAAAATGGCATTCTGTTTGCAAGAATTAAAATGCATCATACATTCTAGTGATTCTATACTTTGATCCCTATCTTTATGACTTCTTGCTCTTATGGTCTGTTAAAGAACATACACTTCATGAGGAGCCATGTAGTAGATATGAAATGATATCTTAATAGAGTTCTTTCGTCTTTCTAGATGCATTTATATTAAATTGATATCCTAATATTGTATATACTGTATTCAACAAGTCAAATTGTAGTTACCGAACCCTCAGTTGTAAAGACTTGTGAAAGTCTGTTATGTCTGAATGTTGTTGGTCAAAGTTATTGCTACAATCTATCCCTTGCATTGCTATAGTTCAGTTAATTTTTATGTTAATGTTCTTAACTCTAGAGGAAAAAAAAGTAAATAAACTAAAGTTTCTGCCCTTCATTAGTGCTCAAATAAGGGTGTTCAGCAAGCTCGGGATATCAGACTTGTTTTTATGTGAAAAGAGGTACATCTGAAGTCATCCTATCAAATACCATTTCGTATTCTATTTGCATACCATGTTCAGTCAAGGAAGAATTGTAACTTAAAGTTTATTCCAGTAGTTTTAATTCATCATAATTACATCTGTATAAGTTCGTGAATAAAGTTATGACACAGTCATATAGCAACTTCTTGAAACCTATCAACTGCAAATCTATTGGTAAAATTTCTGAAACTCAACTTAATTTAGAGATGCTATTTCTTCAAAATCATGTTAATCTATTGTTGGGATTTTTTTATTGTTGTTGGTATATACAGTGAGTTTTTTTGGGCTAGCTCACATAATATTCTTGTTACTTATTTTTTTAGAAGTTTTAAACTTGGGAAAGTTGTAGCCCCCCCCCCCCCCCATTTTGTATACAAAACTTTGTCGAAGTTTTATCGAATCCGTGAACATCATTCACAACACAATTCTTTTGAATATTATATTTTTTGAGGTTATATTTTTTAATTGATTTCAGGTTCCAGGTTACGATAATTTGGTTGTGAAGAAGTAGAAGTATACGCATTGTTATTTTGAGGATGCAAGCCGGAGTGTTACTTTTTTATAGTTTGTTTAGTTATATTAGTTGGATGTTTAGAATTATTTAACTTTGATTGGTTATTGATGTTATAATTTTAGAATATTTTTGTTAGGTCCCATAGATTTTGATGATCAATATATATTGTTTTGATGATGCCACCCCTTTTTATAGTATCCCTGTATTAGACTAGATCTCTACTTTGTTCTACTTTGTTTATTGTAATGTACTCCTATATTAGTGATAAAGTGCTCCAGAAAAACAAAGAGTACTCAAAAGAGAAGAAATGTACCATAAAACAAAAAGAAAAGAAACAAAAAGAAAATGGTATGAAAAGAGTCAACTGAAACCCTTTTAGTTATTTGGCAGTCATCTCAAGAAAGTAGAATCAGTAGCCTGCTGATTCTCTAAGTAGCCGGCTCCCAATTCTACTTTCGATGACTCAACCGAAATCTACTATCTTCTCTTAGCACAAAAGCAATTAAACAAAAGTCCAACTTGCGGTCAAAATGACAAAAGGATCAAAGTAATTTTATAAGAAATTTTTATACATCATGAAAATTTCTTATAAAATTATTTTACTAAAAGCAAGTATTTTCAAATTGTAAGGAAGCATTGAACAACACTTGTCTTCGATACTAAATTTATACGAGCTAAAGAAATAAAGACAATTCATCTTTATCTTTGCCATGAAATGAGGAATCAAGTTGAGTGAAGTTATTGATCTGTGTCACAAGAAGACAAAGACCAACCATGTTGCCTCAGTCAAGTGGAACAAAGCAAGTAGATCAAGCAACGGTCAAGATTGAGTTCATCAGCCAATGGGTGAGATTGAACAACAAAGTCTATAAATTTACAAGAGGTGATGAAAGACCAAGTGTGGTAAACCGTGGACAACCGAGTGGAAAACCATGTGGTAAAATATGAAACCAAGTGGAATAGAAGGGAATCAAGGTTCACACAAACACATCCAACAAGCTGATTCCCCTTCACCACTCTGGTTACCACCCCACTCATCTACAGCTCTTAGAATAGCTCATACATCATACACATCTATAGATCTTAGATTAGTTGGTAGTTTAGCTTTACCCCATGTAATCTAGACTAGTGTTAGACATTCTGGAGGGCTTTGTGTTCAAATCCAGAAGGTGAGAAGGGCAAGGATATGAGTAGCTCTTGGCAAATCAATGCCATTAGTGAAAAACCTTGGAGGACTGAGTAGCTTGAAACGATGTTCAAGTTCTTCGTGAAAAACCTCACATTCTACGCTTGGGCCAAGGGTAGATTAGGCACTTAATGTAATGAGAGATTCATTTAGTGGAAATCCATCTGAAATAGGTTGGGATTGGATGTAGGAGGATTAGACCACCTCTGAACCAGGATACGTCTTGTGTCACCTTTTATATTCAGCACCCAACACACACTTCAGTTCTCACTCACCTTCATACGTTCCCAGTAAAACAGCTTGCACATTCACCGACCAGAAAACTGTCCAAGTTTTCTGTAAATCAAACTCTTTGCTTCCATACATCAAAGAGATCTATTTTAATAGATCTAAATCCTTCATACACATGTGTTTTGTCTAAACTCAAAAGTCAAACAATGTCCAAGGTCATACATTTATGTACCTTAAACATTGACAAAGCAGCACAATCAGTAAGTTTGCTCCTAAAGGGTCAAGCAGCCAGCTCCTGACTTCAGCAGCTAGCTCCTGCTATCAACAGCCTGCTCGTAAGGGATTCAGCAGCCAACTCTTTGAGCCAGCTGATTCTGGCAAACACATTTGCACCTTGTTCATCCCATCTTTCATACAACTAAAATGGTCATAACCTTTGTTACTATAAAGTGTCACACTCTTGAGGTCAAGACTTCCGTTGTACTCTCTCCGTCCCTAAAAGGATTGCCAAGTTTGACCGGCACGTAGAATAATAAAGTAAAAACTGTGTGGTAGAGATTTGTGCAGAGGAGAGAGAAATAACAGGAACCACAAATTGATTGATTAAAAGGGAAAGTGGCAAAGTTTTTGGGACAACCAAAAAAGGAAAGTTGGCAAAGTTATAAGGGACGGAGGGAGTATGTTTCAATATCTCTCAAAAGATATTGGAACTCATTCTGTTAGAGGAAAAAGGGTTGAAAAAGAAAATATTCTAAAAGTCTATTCACCCCCCCCC